AAAATTAGGAAATGCCAGAAGTAAGGCTGCCTATGCAACCTTAATTCTACCCCATTGTGTATGTTCATTACGATACAGGGTTATTTTTTTTTGTTAACATAATCACACACTATTTTTTCTATAAACTTTACTAAAAATGCACCCTGAGGCAGACACCTAGAATTGAATATTTCAGTTTACACTGTTACATTTTGGCAAAGTTATAAGCAACTGAAAATGGGCTTATAAGAGAAAGTATTGGGCAATCCTAACTCTAGGCAACACTACTTGTTTCTGCCCTACCAATGGGCTAAACATCAGGTCTTACGTAAGCTGCCTTTTGCTTTATTAATAATAAATAAAGGGAAACATAGCTTGCAGACATGTTCAATAGGTTTTTTCATTTCCCACTTTCTATTACATGGTCATCTGGCATCAGAATCATCCTGCGTGGGGACTTTTTACTCTCACTCTCTCTTTTTCTTTTTAACAACCTCTCCCCTGCCACCAATCTTCCACATAATTTTCTTTCCTCATCCCAGAAAACAAAGAACATTTATTAATGTATTGATGTTCTAAGGTGTGCACTGACCTTGCAATGGAAAGCATTAACAAGAGAAGAGGTCTCCTGCCAACAAATGCCCTATGATTCTGAAACTGCTAAGAATGAGAATTCTGACATCTGGTCTGCATCTGAAAATAAGACCTTGTGTTCCCACGATTATCATAACATGGATAGTAGTCCTTCCTGGGCTACCACATCCCCAGAAAACAGCTCTCAGTCACTTTATAGTAGCTATCAGAGGACTGTAACAGCTACACCTCATTACAGACTTTGGAGGCAGGCTGCATCTGAAATCCCAAAAAGGAATTTGCTCCTGTAAAGAGAGAGCCCAGATCACAACCCCTTGGAAAATACTAATTACAGTATATCATGGTCTAAGCAAACTCAATGGATCTCTGTAAGAACAACTATATGAAAATACTTTCTTCAGTCTAAGTATAAGCTAGTGGGTCACAACAAGGACAATCAAGAAGAATCCTATGAAGAATATCTCAGTCTATTATAATATAGGTTAGGTGTTTTCATTGGCACAAGGGACCAAAACAAGGTCACGTATCTTAAATCCAATAAAGGTTCCTCACCCTGATCAAAGCCTCAACTAAAGTAGGTCACTTTTTTATCATACAGATTCTAACGCTACCTCTGTGGACCTCATCAATGTAGAAAGTGTACACATCTATTCCTCAGCTACTAAGGACAAGGCATCTGGAAAGAGCTTAAAGATGAAAAAGAGGGAAGGTTTCCCAGAGAAACACACAGTCATGTGCATATGATGAACACTACAGAAATCCTTCTTCCAGTATCCTAACAGCAGTATTCCAACTTTCCCTCTCTCCTCCCCCACGCTATCAAATTCCTCACAACATATACAAGCTCCTGCACATTCTCACCTGGTTCACCGTGGTTCCCTGTCCCCCCTCCCTCCATTCCCGACATCTCATCTCAGCAAGAGAAACATTCTCTCCCTATCCTACAATAAAAGAGAGATTCCTTAGAGAATCCTGGAAGGAGAACTGGGGGTATTTTTATTGTTTTACGCTCACCCAGAACCTGGTGTTTCTGCTAAGAGTCTAGGCTTTGGTGATGAGGTGGTGGGCTAGGAGGTGCTCTCCAAGTTCTGAAGGGAAGAGAAGGGCTGGTGGAAATGGAGGACCTTGTTTTTTCTCTGCTTCTGAACGTGAAAGCAGATCCAGGTGCTGCTGCAGGAAACCTGAGCTGCTTTTTTTTTTTTTTTTTAAAGCAACCAGTCTAAAGCAGCTAATATTTACCACCTATTAGTAAGTTATTTCATACTCTTTTTCTGATGCACATGAAAAAATACGCTTCCCCTCTGAACACTTGTCACTGAGGCAGAGTGCTACATACATTCATCTGTGTCACTACATAAACACATTCAAGCAGCAAAGAATGAAACAAGGTTTATAGCTCCCACACCGCTGTGTCACAGACAGGTTGACAGTAGTTATTGGAGAATTCATAAAAGCACACTGAATAACTGTTTCACATAACGTTAGCTAGGGGTGTCTTCATGGAACCTTACATGAGAGAAAAAATCAACAAAAGAAAAATACTAATCAAATCTATATTTTTCCTGTGTGATACAGATATTGTGCAATAATTCAATTTCTGTAGAAAAGAGAACCAAATATATTATATGTACGTATGCATATTTGATAAATGGCTCTTACTGCAGTCAGGATATTTTAGTTATTGTGATTAGCTTCCTAATAAAGAAAAGGATCATTCTGTCCTTTATTCCCTATAAACTTCATCTGACAGCCAACACAATAATAAAAATAGATTTAAACACTTCTCATTCTGTTTAATGAGTTTAAGAGGCTCTTTTTCTATACCCACACGAAGCCATTCCGCATACTGTATATAAAGTATGCAAAATATATAAAGATTATAAAGCTGTATAAAGATTACACTATATAAAGATTACTTTAAAAATAAGCTAATTATGAGAAAAATATAAATAGAATCAATTTACTTTTAAACTTGTTACAGCTAAGTCTGCTAAGAACTGACAGCTAAAAATACTTCTGAAGATTAACTAGAGATTAAGTAACCCAAATGAGCACAGCGAATGCATACAATTGCATATGGTTAGAAACAACATAATGAAACATAGTTCTGTAGAACTCAGTAACAGAGGTGCAATAAAGAGTGAGTACAGAATTTCTGTTTTTTAAAAATTTCTTGTGTGTTGGTATGAATAGTCACTTTTTCTGAAATAAAGAGTTCAGGTTCTTTTATTTTATCTTACCCTCATTCCTTCAAATCGTGACAAGGCTCTCAAAGGTCTCAAAGCTCGTAGTGTTCTAAGTGATTTAATTGGACCAAGTTCAGAGTAGCCCAAGGCATTAGCTGTTAAGCTAATCAAAGAAACCTACACAAAAAAACAAAGAAAAATTATTTGTACGTATCTTGTATAGCCCATTGAAGGATGCAAGATGCAATGGTTAAAGGTGGAAAAGTTCAGCCTGGATATTAGGAAAAGTTTCTTAGATGCCCTATGCTTCTAACAGCAAGAGCAACTGGGTAGTGGAAAAAACTGGAAAAGAAGAGACATTAAGTTGTTAGTGAATCTCTGAAGTTCTTAGTCTCTTGATCTATGATACTATCATTACATATATACATGAACAGATTAGATATAGGAAGTACCTTTGCAAAATATAGGTTGTGGGCTAGACTAAAAAACACAAATAATCTTTTTCTGACATTACTGCCCTTGAGAAATCATGGTCTGGATGAATCATAACATTCTCAGGAAAAACAATTAAAAGTTGGATGACTTTCTCCACAATTCTTACTAACACAATATTTTGACTGTGACAGTGTTACTACCTTACTCAAAATGTTTCATAAAGGGCATCATAGTGAAATCGTGGTGGCACAAAATTTCTCATACATAAAGTTTGTCATGCTGATGAAATCCTGTTGGTACAAGAAACCCTTTTAATTTATTTTGCTATAAATTTTGCTGAGGAGAAGCTACACCAAGTAGAAAGAACCTATTGAAAAACAAAGATACATTTACACTGTTTGTTAACGTGTATGTATTTTAACCAATTTGCCTTAAAATCTTACAGGAGCCTTACTACTCTCAATAAGGGGCCAGATCTGGAATCAATGGGCATTTTGACATCAGCTTCAGTGGGAAAAGGATTACGCTTAAAGTCCTTAGAAACTTATAGTAGTCATATTCTCCAGGGCCCAAACACCACAATGAAGAAAAAAACTGTGAAAGTCAGTTGAGAATTCAGGATACTATTAATCAAGAGTTGAGGTGTCAATATGTATCTCAGTAATAAGTTTGTGTGATGAATCTTGCGTTTTATTAAAGGCTTTATATTCAGTGTTGCATGAAGAAGCTTGTGCCAAAAAGTTATTTATTGAATTCTGTAGCATCTTTCACAAGCATCAAGGTACACTAAAAAGTAATCAGTTGTAGGCTACTCAGTTTGTGCAAGAAAAGGTGTTTCTCTTCCTCTGTGAAGCTTCTTCAGCTCCGTAGAAGTCTTCCTGCTATGGGTTACCTCCCCTACCTATACAGAGAGGACTGTTCTGAGTAAGGCTGCTTGGAATGATGATTCACAGATCTGAGTATTACTTAATTTATTCATATTAGGAAGTACTTTCCCCCTCCTAACTGCCAATACAACAAGAAAATTCTTGCATGATATGTCTTCTGCCAGGAGTGTCTCTTATCAAACTATGCTAAAACTTTGTCACAAATTATTCTGAATAGCTGGGGCAAGGAGCCCATGTTTGGTTTTGCCTAATGTTGGTCAGACCACAACCAGGTGGTTTGGAACGGACTTCCATTTTTATCTGTGCCATCCAGGTTTGTAGGGGATGAGGATTTGGATGAAAGGCTCTAGGTTGGCTCAACTCTTCATCAAACTCAGAAAACAAGCCACAGGAGGTGTCAAGCACCTGTAATTTTCTCCCAAATGCAACACGAGCTGTAATTTTCTTAGAATTTGACCTTAAAAATGAATATAAGAAGTATTAGAAATTAGGAAACCTGAAGAATCTAAGAGAACATTCATTTAATCAAAAGATTTTTCCACTTAGTTTTCATTAGTTGGATTGAAAGTATTTTTTCAGTTAGTTCAGTAGGCAACATCATCCATGTAGAAGGTACTGAGTCTGAAATCACTTTCTTCCAGAAAAGAAAAAGCTACTGGTGTAATGGGTAAGATTGTTAAGGAATTTACACTTAAGCGTATTACTGTAGGAACCAAATCTTATTGCTGCATGTTAAGTAATAAAATAGAATATCATTATTTGTCATTACAAGGCAGATTAAAAATGATCTGTTTGCAGCCTAAATCCTTCATGAAGTATTTTACTATATTACTATGAAATTACTATAGTTGTGACAAAATGTGGCATACAGACATTTGTTTTTGTTACTCTCTTTTCTGGGAAATAATCTACATTACAGCATAGATCTTCAGGGAAGAGCCACAAGAATGATTAAAGGATTGGAAAATATGCCTTTGGTGAAGAACTAAATTGACTGAGCTTCTTGAATCTATCAAAGGAGATTAAGTGGTGATTTGATCAGCCTATATAAATACACACATGGAGAACAGAAATTTGATAATACACGGCTCTTCAGTCTAGTAGACAAAAGGTATAAATTGTGGTTACTTACCTTACAGTAACTGGAGTTCCTCAAGATGTGCGGGCCCTATGTGTATTCCACTCAAGGTATGTGTGTGCTCCATGCTTGATTTTTTTTGTTGGCTGTGTTTGTGAGTCCACATATGTGGACTTTACTTCTTTGTGTACCAAACTAAGGGTATATGGGGTGGTGCAGACGAACTGCCTGTCCAGTTACCTTTCCACTGTGAATGGTCCTAAAATAAGGCCCTGCATTAGAAGGGAAGGAGGGTGGGTAGTGGAATACAGATAGTGACCACACACCTTGAAGACTTCCAGTTATTATACAGGTAAGTAACCTTTCTTTCTTTGAGTGATGGCCCCTATGTGTATTCCACTCAAGGTGATTCATAAGCAGTACTCATCAAGGACAGGGGTGCAAGAAACCATGCTGTACCACAAATTAAAGGACTGCTCTGCCAAAGGATGCATGTATGCTTTGCAGAAGTGTGTAGAGAGCCCCATCATTGCCACTCTACAGATGAGGGACATTGCTAAGTGAAGCCACTGATGGAGCCTGGGCTCTGGTCAAGTGAGCCCTCCCATCTTGTGGTGGGAAGGTTGGCACTAACTCATAACCAAAGCAGGATGCAGCTGAAAGCCATTTGCACTCACTCTGTGTGCAAGAGTAGGTGGCTTCTTGTCTCATACATTTGCCAAAAGAGTCAAACAATTTAGGAAATTTCTGAAGGGCTTTGTCCTCTGCAGATACAAAGCCAAGGCCCTACAGACATCCAGAGAGTGCAGTTACCTGTCCTCTCTGGTGGCATGTGGCTTTGGATAGAACACAGGTAAGTGGATGACCTGGTTTTGATGAAATTCAGAGGTAATTTTTGGGATGAATTTGGGGTGCAAGCTCAGAGAACCTTTTCATTGTGGAAGACTGTCTAAGGTGGGTCAGCCATAAGGGCCCCCAACTCACCTATTTTTCTGGCTGAGGTAATTGCAACCAGGAATACAACCTTCATAGAGAGGTGAGCAAAGGAACATGAGGGTAAGGGCTCAAAGGGACCCTTCATTAGTGATGACAGGACTAGGATAGGATCCAAGGGGCTGCATTAGAACCACTGAGGGATCACATGGGTAAGGGCAGGGTCCCGTTGTGGGGAGGACCACTGATTCTCAGCAGTGTAGTGTGCTCTGTGGGAGTGGGAGAGTGCCCAAGAAGCTCTGGAATCTATATTGGGAATAACTTTCTGTCTCAGTACAGTCAGTAGAGTTGTCATCCAGGTCTCAAACTCACCTGAGGAATATAAATCCTCTGAATCAACAGGTGGAGTCATTGGTACCCGTTGTCTTCTTATTCCCCATCTGGTTGACTGTACTGGTGTGTGGTGATCTCTGGTGTGGGAACCTCTCTGCAATGACTGGTTCCAAGAGTATTGGTGACTCTTGGTCAGCATATACAGCTAGGTCATCAAGAATAGTATACTTGACCCCTGAGGCTGAAGGGCTTCTCTCTCTTGGTGGAGTCGACAGTGCTGGTTGAGACCAGGTGGTAAGTCACAGGTATTGATGACTCCTCCTTGCTGCTGTGAGTCTGTACTGTTGGTGTAGAGGGTTTCCATTCTCATCTTTCCCTCACCAGTACCGAGGCTGAGTCTGTCCCACCCATGGCTGATGGTTTGGGGCACAGTTGAGTCTTGGTACCAATTAGCCAGACCCAGGCTCCTTGTGACCTCCTGACACATCTGTACTAAGGTGCAGAGTCTCACCTGACTTGGAGGATGTAGGGGAAGAGATCCTCTTCTCAGATGAACACTTTAGAGGGGATTTTGCTCACTATTTGTGAGAGTGCTTTCTCTTACCCTCCTCCTCCTGTCAGCTCTCCCCTCTGTGATTCCAGAGTCAGGGAAAACCATGGCGACCCACAGTCAGACTGGAATCTCATTTTGGCAATGAAAGCAATACGTTTTCCTTCAGGAGGAAAAATTTTGTGTGGGGGCCTTTTGATTTCTTCCTCCTCCTGTTGCATATGTAAGACTAGTATGGACTGCCTTCCATCCCGTACCAAAACTGGCATCAGTTCTGAGCTCAAATGATATTGCACTATAAAAGCATTAATTGTAACCGAGTTCCATGATATAATACTGGAGAAAGAAAATTGCTAGGTAGATTTACCAAATGTTTTAATTTCGTAAGATTTGTATTTTATCTAATGTAAAATTATTTACCTAATACATTTCCTTTCTAAAATTGGCATCTACACCAATCATTCCAGTGCATTCCTTTTATATGTGCAGAGATTAGGTGCAGTTCAAATTAAATCAAAGTTTGTCTCAGAGGACATACCAACTCTGGATCCTACGAAAAAGTGTAGAAACTTATAAATTATTAAACAGACAGCTATTTATAGAAAAATTGCAGAACAGACTTCTAAAATGTTTTACACTACAATCACAAAAAAATTATACCTCCAAAAAGTTAAACTCCAGTAGTAGCTGTAGGAAAGATGTCAGACAATGAATGCATATTGCCAAGTAAGAAAGTCACCATTCTATCTCATGACATTTTCAGCAACAAGAATATCCAGCAGTAAGGAACAGCAGAAGAAAACGTTTCATAGCCAAGAGTAAAATAAAAATCTGTAAAAGCATGAGACGATTGGGTCTGGCAATGCTTTTGAAAAATGTAACAGCTAGCATTGTTATCAGATAGTTATACTTTTTCTTTTTGTGTGTAACCAGGACCCTTAACTTATCTGGTTTTCTAGGTGTACTCCCCATCCTACAAGGCTTGCATCTGTTATGAGAATTCTGGTTCAGTTGCAGCTGAAGACTCCATTATGACAAGACTCCTTTTGGTTCAACAGTGAGAAGTATAGTACTGCTGGTAAAGTTTATTTGCGAGTATATCAACTACTGAGTGATTTTAGTGTTTACACTGGTAACTTTCTTATGTGCAGTTAAGTCTTTGGTGGGACCTCAATGCATGAAAACCTCAGGTCCAGTTGAATGCATAGCTTTATTGTGCATTTGGAGTAGTGTAAAAGTAGCTCTTTCAAACTTATAATGGGCCTGAGATGTGTAAGGGCATAGTCATGCTGATGGCTGTGGGGGAGGTTTAGATTGGATATTAGGAAAAACTTTTTCACTAAGAGGGTGGTGAAACACTGGAATGCGTTACCTAGGGAGGTGGTAGAATCTCCTTCCTTAGAGGTTTTTAAGGTCAGGCTTGACAAAGCCCTGGCTGGGATGATTTAACTGGGAATTGGTCCTGCTTTGAGCAGGGGGTTGGACTAGATGACCTTCTGGGGTCCCTTCCAACCCTGATATTCTATGATTCTATGTTTTGATGGAAGAAATTTCAATTGAATTTTACCTGGGACTTCTCCTGAAGTTTCTGTTCCAATATGTACTTCTTGCAGAGAGCCAGAATACCAATGGAATATTTATGTTGGATACAGTTACTAGAGGACTGCCAGCTCCTGAGCTGTTCAGAAGCTTGGAGAGAATGCTTGTACTTCTTTGTATTTTCTGCAGCTATTTCTTCCTACTTTTCCTGAAGACTTTAGATCCTATCAACTATGAAGAGCACACAAAAAAAAGTTCAGTCTTAACTAAACTGGTGCCTGGCAACTGAGTTGGCGGAAAAGTTCTCATAGCAAAACACCTTAGGAATCTACTATTCAAGAAGTGGTGAGTGAAATATTATGAAGCACTGTGAGGATTTCCTCATATTTAAAGGGAACAATACAGCTTTATGGTTATCATAAGAATATAAGAATGGCCATACTGGGTCAGGTCAGAGATCCATCTAGTCCAGTATTCTGTCTTCTGACAGTGGCCAATGCCTGGTGCTTCATAGGGAATGAACAGAACAGACAATCATTGAGTGATCCATCCCGTCATCCATTCCCAGCTTCTGGGAAACCGAGGCTAGGGACACTCAGAGCAGGTAGGTTCCCTATCCACACTGGCTAATAGCTGTTCATGGACCTATCGTCCAAGATCACACCATATTGTTGCTGTGTTGGGAAAAGCAGCTGAGAAGCCTCAGAGTATCTCTAGTGCATTTTGCCTACTGGGTTTCTGAGAAGCCACCATGTCTTTCACAAAGGACGCCACTGCTTCATTAGATTTTCAGAATTTTAATTATATGACACTGCATTTTCTGACAGTTGGCTCTTTTCCCTGTGTCTTGGTTTTCCTAATCTCAAAGATAATGTCTTAAAAAGCAAGGGTAGGGGCAGTCCATGTATCACCTTCCTACCAAGGATGTCTCTGGAGAGGTACTTTATCTTCATGAGATGCAGGGTTCCAGGTTTTTTTTTTTTTTAAATAGATGGAGATACTAATTCCAAAATCTGTGTTGGGGATGGGGGGGGGGGTAGTATCTATTAAAAAGCAGGCCTTGATGGACAAATAGAAATGGAAAATTAAAGATCATGGGTTTCTGGAGATATATTGTGTGGAATTCTACCATGGCACAGCAATCCTAGCAGCTGAGCCATGGATGAGTATAGCTGGGAAATCACTAGCTTCCCATTATTTATGAAATTACCCAATGTTTTCATTCAACATTTTAGTTTTAATCAGCAATCCCCATTTGGATCCTATGCAGTCTTCAAAGGAGATTATGAGAAAACCCGTTTCTAATTTTGTTTGAAGACGATAGTTTCCCTTATTTTGAGACCTCCTTCCTCTACTTTTATGTGGTTAAAGGCACTGCCTTGTGGGCATTAGTGTTATAGCTGTCCAGAGCTTGTGGTCATGGCACAAACAGATAGTTTCCTCTTCTGAAGAACAGAGCTGTTGGAACAGGAAAGAGGGGAAGGAGTCACATCATCTGTTTTAAGTGTCTTATGAGCCACTACCTCTGTCTCAGAAAGGGGAGTTAATCTTATACTTTTTTTTGCAGTGGTGAGGGAGAGACTTTACCTAGATAGGTGGGTAAAGGAAACCCACAAGATAAGGTTAGAGTTTCAGTGCTCTAATGATTTCTCAGCTGAGGAGAGGGAGAGAGGAATTAGAATCTGAAATGAGATCATTATTGTACAAAAATGAACAAAAAATAAAATTCTAAAACAAATTGATTGGGAGACGCTGAACTACTAACTTGCTTTATCTGTGGAAGCAAAGAACATATAAAAAAAGAGAGACCCAACAACTAAAAACCCAAGTATTTACAGGAAAGGAAGGGATATGCTTGAACTGCTGCTGGTTGCAGATTTAGAACTTTTGGCAGGATTCCAGAGTTTGTGTGGCCTTGTCAGTTTGTTTGAATTTTTCCCAATGTCTGCAAAGACAGAAAGAACTCATGAGTATGAACTCATGTAGCTGTCATAAAATAAAATATATGCATGGGAGTTTTGAAAGTTTCTAAATGACTTTGGAGTGCAAATCCCCGTGATTAGTGCTCCTAAGTCATATAGGTGCTTATGAAGATACCAATCTATGTTTTTTATCATAGCTAGCAGTAAAACAGTAATTCTATTACCCATAAAAATAGATCACTTCTGTTTTAAAGTATAGTATTCAGAGAGACAATATAGACAGAAGCCAAGCCAAAACTGAGACTGAGGAGAAAAGCCAAGCCAAAAGTGAGAAAGATTTAGTTCCCAATATAAGCTTTAGAACACTGGTGGGCAACCTGCGGCCTGTCAGGGTAATCTGCTTACGAGCCACCAGACAGTTTGTTTACATTTGCACGGCCACCCGCAGCTCCCAGTGGCCGCAGTTCACTGTTCCTGGCCAATGGGAGCTACAGAAAGTGGTGGCTAGCATGTTCCTGCGGCCCGCACTTTCCCGCAGCTCCCATTGGCCGGGAATGGCGAACTGTGGCCACTGGGAGTTGTGGGTGGCCATGCAAATGTAAACAAACTGTCTGGCGGCCCACCAGTGGATTACTCTTGTGGCCCGTGGGCCGCAGATTACCCATCACTGCTTTAGAAGGTCAAAAGTGGCTGAAAATGGTAGAGGTTATATTTAAAGTTGTCTTGCCACCTCATCGAACAGGAATGCTAGAAAATCAACATGAGGATTACTGCTGAAAACAAACAGAAGATGCAGAATGAAATGGAACATACAAATGCAGTTTTAATGAGCCATTAAATAACCACAAGGCATCAGGAAAATGTTCACCAGTCGTGATTTTTTGGTCATTTTTAACCCAGAATACTGTCCTCATTATACATGTCACTAACAATGAGTTATGTAGGATGGCTAACTTAGAGAAGAGTAAAAATAGGTTATTTAGAAAATACACTACATACATCAACAATCAGGAAGTCCAGCCAGCACCAGGCATTGGTGAAATAGGTTTGAAAACCATAGGCGACCCATTTTAGCACCATTTCCAGAATGAAGATGTAAGTGAAGACCTTATCAGCATATTCTAGCATGATCTTGATAGTCTTACGCTTTTCAATATATATATCTTCAAAAGCCTGTGAACAAACAAATAGTATTCAAGTTCAGTATTCATAAGCCTTTGCAAGTTGCAATTTAGGCTGCATGGGCCAAAGATGAAAAGGAAAGGGTAAATCACTTTCCAATTCAGGATGTTTTCTGCAGGTAGTATTTATCACTGATTATAAAATATATTTTTGAGATTTGAGTCTTTGGTACATGGTGATGGGAGTGATCTACAACAATCCAAAGGTTTTTAGAAAACTGTCTACTGGCATCCCAGACACAGACCCTGTAACTCAGACAAGCCAAATCTCAATTCAGTGCATAAGGCAATATTACACATGAATACTTGCAGCTCACAAAAGTATGCAATAAGTATGGGGCAAGAAGAAATGAGGCACAATGACCCAATGCCGTATACTGTAAGTGACACATCCCTAACCCTCAAATGACAGCTCATGCAGTGAATAACTACAGGAAATATAAACAGACACTTGTTTCCAGGTGTCTCTTTTTAAGACACAAGCAGGATATATGATAGAGTGTCAAAATAAATGAATAGCTTATGAGATTTTGGCTACAAACCTAGAGAATTTTTAAAAAATGTAATTTGGAGAATTTTGCCAGACTAGGCTGGGGTATGTAGGTGTGTAAAAAATAATGGGAGGGTAAATGGGTAATTAAAGTGAAACTCATATGTTGACTGTGCAAAGAAATTAGGACAATTATGTAACAATGGTTTATCCTTATAAAACATGGATACGAAGATCTGTTTCTAATATGTGAATAAAAAATACCCTCTACTAGTCAAAGTTACTACTTACACAAATAGAACTTTTCATACAAGAAATTTAATTTGATAGAAATTAAGTGGCCCAGAAGATGATTTATTAATTTGGTGAGAAGCAAGTTAATGCCCCATACCCTGTTACCGGATGCCTAGCAAGCAGTCATGAAGCCTAGAGACGACACATCAGAAATATCAATTTTAAATTAGAGTCATGCCCTAAGGGAAAGGTTAGGATTATAAGAAATACACATCTGTGTAATCTGTATCACTGAAAGATAGGCCCTGAAAGTTCACAGGGATTCCTTGTCTAGGGATTCCTTGTCCTTGCTACACCATTGTGGGATTTTTTTTAAAGTGTTTACAAGCATTGTTCCTTAAAAAAAAAAAAAGCATCTTGTTGCTGTCTAGTCAACCACCAAAATCACGCAGTTCACCTGTTACCCTCCCATGTCTACCCATGGACTCTTGCTCCTAAATGGAAATTGACAGCCTGGACCCCATTAGTCCTACTCTCTAAAACCAGCTCCCCAACCATGCACTCATCTGCAGTTTCTTACACCGAAAACTCTCCTCCCCTCCCCATCATCTTGCAGTCCAACTGTTCCTCCCACCTGCTATCTACCAATTTGTCACAATGACCTCAACTGCTGATGTTTTTGCTACTACAACATTACCCCAGAATTCTGTGTGTGCAGTGGCAAGGAGTAGACAGAGCTGAAGGTAATCTGACAAATTAAAAGGCAGCAATGATAAAGAACATGTTAAAATCTATGAGCTCTCTCTATGCAATAAAAGACACCCAGAAGGCTGGGAGAGAGAGAGGAATTTGGCTGGAGGAATTTATACAGGAGTATGATCCAAGAACCTTGATAAGAGTTTTTACATGTCGTTTTATATTTGTTTTCTTTTTCATCTGATCAGACTTTTACAAAATCTGGGTTTGACCACCACTCCCATTTCCCCATAAAATAATAAAAGCTAGATTGTGGCTGGCCCCACAGAGGTACACAAGGAGGGAAAGAGAGTTACACACATAGGGCAGCCACATCTCTGCTACTGTATTCTCAGCAACCAAAGACAGGGCTGACAGAGACTCCAAAGGGGATATGGCTAGATACCGAATAAGGAAAAGAAAGTGGTCTAGCGAAGGTATGAATTCATACATATGTACAGGTGTTACAGCCTCTATTTTTGTGTGTATTTTCCCAATGCTCCTGCAAGTATTCGGGTCTCAGCCAGCCAGAATGCTGAAAGGGAAATTCCACACACTCACAACCTGACCGTAATACAAGCTCTGGCCAGAACAGCGTGAAGAACTAACCTCTATTAAATGGTAGGATAAGGGAATTCTGGGTGTCCCCAGATGAGACATTTTTTATTAAAATATTTTTTAAAAATCATTTTTTTCCTAGTGGAAAAAAACCTGTGCTATACGTATCTCTTTGATTAACCACTCTTCTAAATCGTGTTTTCTCTCAGAAATATTATGCCTGTT